CCTGATCCATTCTGAAGCCTCTGAAGACAGAGCTCATTAAATTTGTTGCCTTGCATTGTTTCCAGTTCCAGGTGTGGTTAGAGCATCAGATATGACGTAGACTATGTCTGGGAGAAGCTGTGGGCAAGTTAGTACCTGCACTGCTAGACTTGAACTAACCTAAGAAACCTCCATGGGAAAGAACGTGGAGTCTATCCTGCTAGCCATCAGATGAGTCAGCAGTAGGACTGCTTTTTTTTTTTTCTTTTATTATTTTTTTAAAAAGTCATTTTTTAAGACACAAATCCAGTGAAACTTACATAGGGTTTTTTTCCTCACATCCCATCATCAGTACAAGCAGTTCTGGCTCAGCCTTTATAAGGTTTTTAGTTATGTGAGACCTGGCCATTTAACAGAAATAACAGCAACAAATAGAGAGTAACGTGCAGAGTGATGGAGGTGGGCATGCTGAAAGGCTCTAGCCACAGGCTTTACCAGGGCACAGCAGCTTATCGGATGCAAGCTCTGGCTCTATAAACAGGACAAGAGGAAAAGGAGAGAGGCGCTGAGGCCCTTGCTTACAAATGAGCTGGTCAGTGACCTCAGCAATGGGAACTCAGAGGGTCCTGCACCCACCAGAGTAAGAGGGAGCGCCACTGGCAGAAAAGTGATGTCTTAATGCAGAAGTCTTATCGTGCTACTATACTGTCAGGATAGGCTGAGGTTGCAAGCAGGTCATTCACTGGCTTCCCTTTTAGCCAACTTTGCTGCTGCTTCTTCCACTCCTTTAAGCACTCTCATTACGTTGCGACCCCAGGATGACAGACTGTGTGGTCTTTTCACAGGGTCAGGGTAACCCTCAGATGTCTTTTCAAGTTTGGGCATCTTAACAGAACCACATCAGAAATGCAAACGTAGCAGACAAGGAAAATTGCTACTTGAGCTAATAGCAGATTCTAAAAATAAACAGGGCTTTACTTGTTGGGTTGTTCTTGGAGCCCCAGTCAGGGCTTTCAATTAAATGAGATTTATAACAGCATAATTAAGACCTGGAAAGCACCCTAAAGATACAAAGTACTATGCTGCATTAAGTAGTATGACTATTACAACCTCTGGGAATGTTTGGGAGTGACATTACTGCTGAACTGTATTTAATTTAGTATCTGACACAGTATAGATTCTGGAAGAGGGAGGAGAAGCATCTAATGTGTTTTTAGAAAGTGTTCATATGCCAACAGCTGTTTTCTCTAAAGAAACTTTTCTCTCTCAGTGCATGTTAACACATACCTGTGCTGGTAGGATCGGCTGGTTACAAGAAGCGCATTTTGGTGCAAAAACCCTAGGGTGCAAGAAGGAAGTGTTCAAATCACATTTAAAAAGCAGAACCAAGAGAGCTACTCTAACCATGCCTTGTTTTTAGCAAAACGTAGATCCACAGGATTTGAAACATGTCTAAATGTTTGATGATATTCAGGGAAAAGGAGATTTGGAAGAGGCTGATCTACCCCAGCTTTATTGCTTAGGTCTTCCTGACCTCTAGGCATAGTGAATCGCAGCCTTCTTCCCACACATGCCCTTTCTCTTACCTTTCTTTACTCATAAAGCCATTCAAATTCTTCCAGAGACTCGCTGCTTTGACTGCAAAGCAGCTCCTGACTTGGGGACTGTCACCATCTGACATCAGGAAGACATAACCATGCTAAATAGGAGAGGAGCTGATCATGGCTAGGATCTACTTAAACCAAATACATCAACTGGTCTTATTATCCGCAGCTGCATTTTACGACAATCACTGAGGCAACATTCACTCTACCCTTGTAACACGGTCAACCAATAGGGTTGAGTTCAGAGGGATTTACTCTTGCTGCATAAGCTCAGTTATTCGTTGACTGGACCATGTTGCCTTTGAGCAGGACCACAAAGGAGTCCAAAAGCAATCACTTAAACCACAAAACTTTTTGTCAGGTGAGGCTAAAACCATTCTAACACTAGCTGCTAATTACATGTCTACTGTCCAGTCTAGGTTAACCTAACTTACACTCCCCAGCGTCAGGCACTACCAGAACCTCGAATCTTAGAAACAGCCGGCAGAACCTACCATCACTTGCAGAATTAGCCTGATCTAATTAGTATTGAAAGTCCCGAAAGAAGCAGAGAAACAGCCACCAGAGAAGTACATCCTCTGACACAACTTGATTTTCAACCTCACCTGGCCACTGTATGCCACACTGGGCCCATGAAGTGACCTTTAATATAACTTAAAAATACTTCATAAATGCAACATGCGAGGGCAGCACTTGAGGGACATCTGAGCAAATAGGAATGACCCTTTTTATATTACCAGGCTTATAACTATACCAATAATATAACTACTATAATTTTTCCAAGCATGCAATGGATTTGTGTACTTACGTATGGTAGTCTTTGACACAGTAAATATTGTTCTCCACATCTACAGTGAAGGGGACTCCATCCAAACACTCGTTACACACCACACAGCGGAAGCAGCCAGGATGGTATGACTTTCCAAGGGCCTGTAAGATCTTAAGAGGCAAAGAGCATATATCGCTGTGTCTGATTCTTAATAATGTCAGCGAGAAAAGCACTTTAGGATAAAATTACCACTCTGCAGATCTGTCAGCAAGGGGCCTTTTAAAACAATCAACTTGCTTATTTCAGTGGGTTTCAGTAGGCTCCCAATAAAGAGAGAGAACTGTGAAAATGAGGCTAACACCCATCAGTCTTAACTCTGCAGGGCCAATACTGCCAACAGAAATTAAAAACGGCTTCAGAGACCATTTCTTGGAAAATCTGTTGCAGCCAATACAAGTTACTGGGATACAGAGTTAATTCACAAAACTTAACAGGTTGTGACAGACAGAATCCAACTAGTCATTACTCAAACTTAAAAAGTAAAGTAACAAAACAAGCAAATAAATAGGTGTCCCTTTATTCATTAAGGATCCTAATCCACCACAGTTACTGACTGGTGATCACTCAGTCAGAGGGGCCCATCAGTTTCTGTTAAAATTCCAGCTGTATCCATGTGTTTGGATATAGTTCCATCCATCTGCCCAGGCCTTTCCCATGCTGACCTTCCCTACTGCACTTCAAAGGTTTCAAGGAAAGGCCTGATGCAGTCTCAGCTACACTACTACAGAACAGAACCCCTCCCGCCTGGCATCCCTGTATATAACGCTCAGTGTGGCACTGGGACATTAAGGAGGATGCACCAAGCCCATGAACAAGCCTCTGGGAAGAGTGAGACATGGTATCATCTTCAGGTTATAACACCAATTGCATACATTTCAGATATAAGAAATACCTTTGGAAGGTAATTTCAAAAAGTATCTGCTAACAGCAGTGCTCAGCTTGGAGCTGCTAGTAGGCTGGAGATAAAAAATCTCCACAGGCCAAGCTCTTGTGGCCCTGTAGGTGATTCTATGAATAAAGACCAAATCAACAGGAACTAAGAAGTGGCACATAGGAAAAATGCACAAACTCTATTTAATTTAACCTTTTTTTCCCCTCTAACAAAGCCCTATAGCTCTCCGTTCAGTGAGTAGCATCAGACTCCATTTGGTTTGCAAGCCTGTTCCCAGCCAGAAACAACTCGTCTCCATGCGTGTGTTGCTATCTAGGCAGCTACGTAACACACGCTGTTAACCTGGCGTGGTTGTGCAGCCACTCCTTTGCACAGAGTAACTCCTAATTCAACTGCACTTTCAGCCTTGAACAGCTTCAGTTGCGCCCAGGCCTGTGGGGCTGCAGCTCTCTGCTCCCTAGCTGTACACGGGCACCACTGCTAAGCAGGCACATTCGTTGTACGTGCGCTCCCAGGGAGGAATTAGCCAAATAAGACTGCTTAATTCCTGGAGCTCCCAGAGCTGTTTCCTTTTGTCAGAGTACGCTTGCTGATGGGAGAAAGGCAGACAAGCACCTGCCAAACTTCCAGCTCCACCAATGAGATATTATGGACTCTTGCCTGGGATTCTGCAATTAAGGGCCAGCTCAAAGCATGCAAGTCAGGATACCCCTCCCCCTCCCAGCATGACACAACTCTAGAAATTTGCTCTTGGGCTAAAACGAACAATATCCTTGTCCAACCAGTGGTGCCAGGATATGAGCCAGAATCCTCATTAGCGAAGTCTCCGTTCCAGCTCCTACTGAACCTCCGTGTTTGCAACCGAATAGCTACTTCTATTAGGCACACTGAGGTTCATATACATTTTAAAGCAAGACGAAAATAGACAGACTACATGATCTGCACTTCTTCGATGTGCAAGCCACTTCATTTTGTTTGGGAATTTCTGCTTAGGAAGAACAGACTAAATTCTTCCTACTTTCACCCACTGAAATGATGCAAGTAGTATCTGGCCCAACCCATAGCCCTTTGATTTTTTTATTATAAAAGTAACTCTGACTACTGGTTCCCTACAAATCCCAGTGCAATAACGCATTTAAATAAAATATTTAAATATTTTATCTAATTAATAACTAATCCAATAACTGATGTGGAGCAAGTGGCAGAAGGTAATTAAAGCAACTCACAGAGCAGGCAACAAACCTCAGGACTACTGATAATGTCCCTCTCCTCTCTAGCTCAGATTCCATCCATTTGACGAGCTCTTGCTATTCTACTGTCTTACAGAGCACAGCCTCCGTTTTCCTTTACCATGTTCTCATACAAAGCTGTGCTGTATTTTCCCCCCTTAGCATAAAAATTCTATTTATCTTTTTTTTTTTTTAAACTGGCATGTGGCAGAACAACAGCCTCCCACAATCTCGTGTAGAAATGAAGCCCAACTTACTGTACTTAATAGCAATATAGAACATAAAGGTATTTTTGTTTATTTACTGCCTCAGTTTCAAAAATTACCTTGACAGCAGTGAAGACACAGTGATGGTCTGACTAGGGAAAAAGCACAATGTCTCACAGTGCACTACCCAAAGTACGTGAAAAGCAAGCTACCCCGCGGTGAGGAATTTAGGTTTCTTACCATTTCCATTATGAGGTGTCCACAAACAAAGCACTTGTCCGCTGTTTGCTGAAAACCTGAATACTGTTCAAATGACAGAAAAGAAAGGATTATTAGTAGTCACTCCCCTAGCTGCAGAAATACCTTTTAAGTGAACGCTGTGCTATTTTCCAGCCCGTGCTGTATATGATAGCAGACTATACAATAGATTTGGGAGACTCGGAAGCCTTCGCTCTGCTCTTGCAGCATGCTCAGATACCAGCTTGGCCTTCTGATCCACTTCAAGGCTTCCACTGAGATTTCCAATGTAACAATATTATTTCAAGTTTGACTTGCATTTTTGAAGCCTATTTGGCGAGTTTGCGTTTGGTGTGCTGGAATTAGCTTGAATTCACTTTTTTGGTTGTTGTGTTGGGCAAGTGTAAATAACATAGGACTTATCTCCCGACTCCTGCTCAAATTAGTGACCAGATGCTTACTGACCTCAGATTTTGGACCTACATTTCACCCAGTGCTATATGCAGGCTAGAAAAATGAAGACAGGCCCAAGGAGGATTTAACTGCCTCGTGGATACCAAGATTTTTATCCAGGGAAGAATCTAAAAGTCCAGTTGTAGGAGCTTCGGCTCCCTACACAATGTGGGCAACAGTAAGGTACCTCAGAAAGATGATAAAAATGCCAACCTCCAGCCCGTGCTCCAGCCTGCAGTGGTAAATGGGAAGGCTGGGCAGGGCTGGCAGCAGAGCCTCTCGGGTTCGGTGCTGGGGGCATGGCAGCAGGGAGATACTTTGCCCACTTGGGACCAAAGCTCTGCGTTCCCTGCCTGAGTGTTTTTGACCTTAACTTTGTACTTCTGTCCCCTAAGCAGATCCTGTTTCAGATGCCAAAGTCTGTCTTTAGCCCTGTGTTTAGAGGTATCCAAAAAATATCAAGGTTATCAGGCCAGATGACTGACCTACCAAACAAATACCCTACAGGCAAGAGGCATTTGCCTGAAGAACTCCAGCCATGTAATTTTGAAACCGGTATTTGCAGCGGCTGAACTTTACCCTCACCTCCCATATAAGCGTCCTGCCAGAGGGAAGGGGTGCCCAGTTATTTGTATGGTATTGCACAGTGATGCTTATTTCAGCAATTAAGGTTGTAGCAAAGCTCACCTGAAATGTACTTTAGTTGCACAAGATAAAAGAGAGGGAATGGGGAGGATGAGTGTAAACTGGACTCTTCTCCCAGAGCACAGGTTAATTGGCTCAGGCATCTAATGCATCCTCAGAGCCTCAGCCCAACAGAGCTTACGGCTTGCTCCATTCCCCCCTTGATTTAGCGGAGATTAAATGTCCCGTCACTTCAAAGGCCAGTGGTTCCCAGCCTAGCGCTGCCATATGTTTTCCTTTTTATTGGTGTGAGGGGATTACATGTTATCTCAGATCAATAGGTTGGAGACAAAATTATTGTTGCTATGCAACAAAGTGATTATGAAGAAAAAGGTCTCACAGACACTTTGACGGGCCCACAAAGTCAGTACATGATGGTATGGCAGCGGTCACGGCTCCAAATTTACTATGCACTAAGGAACACAGCTCATGCAATCTTAAGAAACTTTGAAACTTCATCAAAAGAGACCAGGGTGTTGAGGAACAAATGCAGAGGTGGGCAATCCTAGCTGACTATTTCTGCAAGATACTGTTTTTTTTGCTTTTTTCTTCTTCTTACTGATGCAGAAAAAAGGCCTCACTTCTTGGGATGCTTCTTGGCTCCACTGTCTCTGAGTAACCATCTGGCCAGACTATTTCCTAAGGTTGCGAACTTGAGGGTTACTGGAAACAGGTGGGTAGGTCCTAGTGGCGCAGACAGCAGAGGATTAACAATAGTACAAACCCAGCTAATTCTAAAATCCTGCTGGAATGAATTTACCAGTACCATCTGGCTGTCATTTGATAAGGAATGCAAAGGAGCATTTACCCAGCTATTGATTAAGAGGGAACATTATTCCCCAGGAACAGAATGGCATAGTGGTCAGATTAATGTCATTTATTGCTAACTAGATTGTCATAAATTACACACTGTTTGTCAGAAAGAAAGGTTTTGCTGACACAAAATCACTCTTTATATGACTAACCCTATTAAATTAAAACCATGATTTGTTTTTAACAAGAGAATTGTTATTTGTCGAACACATCCAGAACTGACTTACCCAATTAAGACGACTTTGCAAAACAGCAGTAACTCTAATAGCAGTGATAAAATATTTCATAGGCTTGGGGAGCTGTCCTTTACCACTACAGTCTTCTCTTTTCTGATCACAGTTTCGATCCCAGACAAACTGGAGACCTGATTCAGTGAGATCAGGGTTTTGGATTCAGCTCTGCTTGAGCTTTAAATCTATTTGGACTGGAAAAGAGTAACAGCCTTCGATCCCAGCAGCACTGTTTTCTACATGATGATAATACTGTGGACGCTGCTGTTTAAAGGTAAACAATAAATGACTTTCTCTACATTTTTGTAGCTCACCTGTCAACTTCTGCTTTGCAGTGCTTGTTCTTAACCTAGAGAGTTCAAACAGGGCTGTTGGGCTAAGTTTTCAAGTTTAGAAGCAGAGCTTACAAACAAAGTCTTAAAATACTACTTAGAATTGGCAACCTCTGTCTTTAAAGCACTTGATTATTATTAACCTTCACAAATCTTGTGTGTGCAATGGGAGAGAAGTTGTGACTTGCTCCGGACTGCAGACAAGGCAGAATGGCCTCTTTATTATCTCTCAGCACACCCAAGAGCCTCCCTGATGGTGGGTTCCCAGCAAGGCTGGGTGGAAGAAGCACTGGTCCCCCAGAGCTTGTGAACTAGGTAACCGCAAGAGAAGAGGAGGTTATGCTCTACAGACTTGGAGCCTCTTTTATTACTGACATGGTTGGAGGGGGAAAGAGAGCTTTTGCGCACACCGGCCCTCCCTCACAATCTGGAGACAGGAAAAACAGATTGAGGTGAAACAGTGAAGTAATACAGGCTGATAGGCAAGACGCTAGTGGAGAAGCCAAATCACAGCTATGCTCCTTGTACACATAGTATTTTATGCATACAATTTCATTCAGGAGGTAAGCAGTACTGGGCTCAATTCTAGCCTTACTCTATAAGGGTTTCATATGTGCAGTTTTTTTAAAAAAAATATTTTGTTGGCAGACCAGTATGATGTAAATACAGACCAATCTCAAACTAGACAGAAACGTTCAGAAGTCTACAGTCTGTACCAAGGACAAATAAGAAGTGTAATTTTGAACTTTCCCAAATATTCATTATAGATGCTCAATAAGCATATATAAAAACATTGAAAGAAGTTGTTATAAAAAGAACAGCTCTGAAATTCAAAGCTGAAAACGAAGTGTTACCCTTTACTGTCACTTCTGTGGCTTAGAAATAAGATGCTAGTTACCAGGATGCAAAGAAAACGAGTGCATGTTGAAGAGCTCGTATATTATTTTTCCTGATTTCTTAGTTTAGTCCCAACTGTTTTCTCCCATATTTACCTTGTCCTTGACTTCTCTCCCAGGATACTAAAATCTCACTTTATGTGCATGAATCAAGACTTTGTAATCAAGCTCCCCAATGATACTTATATAAAATAAGACTCTGGGAAACTAAATAAACCTTGAGAAATATGTTAATTATGTTAGAATAGAAGAGTAAAAATAAAGTAGAAGACTTGGCTGGCTGAACTTTTCTTTTGTTTGCTGTCCACTATACTTCCATTATCAAACGGGCAAAAAAATCTCTAATGATTCTGTCCAAGAGCCTTTGTTTCAGTGTAAGAGGAAAACAAGTCCCCTTCTGTCCTGAATATTTAGGCCTGTTAGTGTCCTCCTGTGATAATCTTGGGGTTTATAACTCTTCTGTCTAATGTGCAATATATCCAAAAGAAATTAACAATGAATTTTGAGCATATAATGAACAATTATGCATGGAGGATAATCCCACCAAGTACTATGAGAAACAATTTCTCCTGTGTGCCCTCAGTCCTGTAACCAATCTTGGTTGTCTACCCAGGGTCTTTTAAAGTTTGATGTTCTCATCATGATTTCCAAAAGCAAAAACATTCAGAAAATAGCACGCCTGAAAAGGCTTCAGGACCCAAAGTTTCTACCTTAGGCAATGTCAGATCTTTGAAAAGACATGTCGCTTCTTCTCCTTCACATGCCTAACCGTGCCCAGGGAGAGGCTGATGCACTTCCCTGCTGTTACGCACTCAACAAAACAAAACCTTCCTCCTGGAAACAGACCCTGGAATCTCATTCAGGCCCATTTTCTTCTTTGACGAGGATGTTCAAAACCTGCTAAAGATTTGTGCAAGCAGATCGAGTGGGTTACATTTCAGTAGGTGTGGCAGTTGCTGCCCCGGTAATGGTACGAAGCCATAAAAACTACAATTCACTGTTACAGCACTGCAAAGTCACCGAATGTGATTGCTCAGCCTAGACTTGAGATTCCTACTCTTTTATGCTTTAAGCGCTTTTGAGAGGGATGATCAGGAGTTTTTGCCAAAATGCTTCAGGCATTTAATTCTGAAAACTAATTTCTGAATTGGGTGCTATGCTAATTATGTATTCCAACCCCAGGCTGCCTGTAATCCCTCACAGACTCTCTTCTCCTTGGTTTCACATTAGCAGAGCATCTGTCTTCTCGCTGCTTTATTGTTTGCTCTCTGCATGGGACCCTTAGTACATGGGACACAACAATGCAAGAAATTCATGGGATCACGTTAGGAGAGGCAGAGAATATCAAATTTGGTTTCATGCAGATGGAGTTTTGTTGTTGTTTTTTTACACGCAGCGATTAAACTGAACTGAACAAAATGGGGCCTTCTGAGGCTCAAAGATGCGGGAGCCTCATGGCAGGTGGCAGAGATTAAACTAAAGGAAAATAGTCCAGAACTTTACTCTTCATCTCGCTGAAACCCTTTCATATACGCTGCTGGCTCACCCTGTCTTGCTGACAGTGAGGAAACACTACCACAGCAGCTTATCTTCTTGCTTCTGTGTTTCCACTTTATGTTTGAAGGACATGCGTAGGGCAAGGAGGGACTTCATGTTCT